GGATAATTGCTTCATGAAGAACAGAAAGAGACTGGTGAGGAAGGGGAGAAAAGGTGAATTCACCTCGGGGATCAGAAGGGTAACAGGTTACAGGAATAAGAAAACAGTAACGTCCTAAATAAACACACACTTAGAGCTAAAAAATACTTGCTTATGATTTTCTCTATAAAATAAAATGGTTTACTACTATTTTACACTTGTTTCAGGGACAAGGTTGTGTTGTCGTGATTTTGACTTAAACCATGATTTTGACTATGATCATCATTTCATCTTACTAGGTGTTAATTATTGTTAGATCATTAACTATGACTTTTTATTTGGTGTTAATTACTATTTTGAAATTATAATCCCATATCTGATTTAATCTTATAATTACATTGGTGGGTACTCATCCATAGAAAATGCAATCAAAGCATTAACTAATATTTTTAGCTATAGGGTCAATTAGAGAATATTAAAATCTAAATGCCTCAAGCTACCTAAATGCAGTTTCAATTAATATTGACTGATTATATATTGATTTTCTGCCAGGTATAATCTGGGAAAAATTTTTAGATATTTACATGACTATAATAGACACAGGCTTATTTCACATCAAGTAACTACCTTTCTATATAAGCATGTAATTTGGAATTTGAATGTAACTCATTCATTTGGTAAAAGAAATGCTTTGAAAGAACCAGACAATATTTAAAAATCTCTCTGTTAAGTGCTGTTACTTAGTAACAGACTTCCATGAAACTTCACAAGAGATATGAACAGAATTCTCTTCTACATATATGTTACAAACCTGTGTAACGCCAACTCTCACTTCACGATTAACAGATCCTCCAACTTTTAACATTTCTCCACCACTCTTTAAGAAACCTGACCCTCCACGTAGAAATCCTGTAGCCATGAGTTCCAAGACTTCATCCAATGTCGCTCGCTTTACATTTTGACGCATTACTTTCAGGAAGAAAAGTAAATTCATTAAGCAGATATATTTCTAAAGCATATTTTTTGCTATTAGTTAAATCATATTTCTAATACTCTAGCTTAAAAATTCAAGTAATTATTTTTAAGGATACTTTACTACAATAAGGACAGGATTTAGTTTCCTCATAAAAATTTTTCTTAAAATTTACAATGTTCTTATAGACATAAATCAATTTTGAAGCAAAAAATGCTAAGAAAAACATACAAAATAAATTCAGTTCAATAAATCTATGCCAAAATAGTCTACTAATAATGATAAATTTAATACTGTATGTAACACAAGAAGGACACAGTACACCCACAGCAGAAATTACTAACTGGTCACAGCTCTCATTCCCAACTAAGATGGGCAAAAAGAAACTTTCTCAACACAGTGCTTTCTATACAGTAGTTGCCAATGGATTAAAATGTCACTGGGAACCAAACCAACTTCATATCTTATAAATACCTTCATACTTCATAAAGTCCTTCCCCATATAGTAGCAAACACAATACTCACAAAAATTCTCCAGAGAAGGTATAAAGCTCATAGTTAAGAATGTAGGCCCTGGAATTTGGCTACCTAGGTTTGAATTTCAATTCTGACACTTACTAGAACACTCTTTACAACACAAGTTATACAATCTCCCTAAGCCTTAATTTCCTCATCTATAAAATGGTAATAACAGTATTTATAATTCATAGGGCTTTTGTGAGAATTAAATTTTGTAATATGCTTAATTCAGTGCCTGGCACAGAGTTAGCACTTTAAACTGTTACATCATCACCATCATCACCTAATGAAATAATTGTCATTAAAGAAAAAGAAACCAAAGCTCAAAGAAATTAAATAGGGTTTCACAGGTAATAAATATAAAGGGTAGGACTTGAACCTAAAATATCTGGTTCTCTCTCTACTACACATAGGTGGGGTAGGAGTGGAGACAATGGCAGAGCTGGCTTCACTCATCACCTACTCATAACCACCCCTGAGACATCTCTACAGAACTGTAGGGCAAAGCAAGAGTCACCTGAAAAGGCAATGCTGCCTCTGATTCTGCTTATAATAATGGTCAAGAAAAATTGAAAATTAAGACTGTGGTATAAATGAGGATCTACGCATCAGAGATTGAAAGTAAGAAATTAGCGAATAGGCTGGGCACAGTGGCTCACACCTGTATCCTACCACTCTGGGAGGCTGAGGCCAGAGGATCACTTAAGGTCAGGAGTTCAAGACCAGCCTCAGCGAGAGCAAGACTCCATCTCTACTAAAAATAGAAAAACTAGCCGGGCATGGTGGTGCACGCTTGTAGTCCCAGATACTTGGGAGGCTAAGGCAGGAGGATCGCTTGAGCCCAGGAGTTTGAGGTTGCAGTGAGCTATCATGACACCACTATACTCTAACCGAGGTGACAGAGAAAGACTCTGTCTCAAAAACAAAAAAAAAAAGAAGGAAGCATTCCATAAACCTTCAAATATCTATTATAGTCTAAATCAGGGGTTGGCAAACAACAATACCTGTTGCCTGTTTTGGCATCAATGCTGTAGCCATGACTGTTCCTAAGAGTTTAGACACTGCCACTCGCACCCCATAATTGGAATTTTCCAAAGCCTTAAAACACAGAGTGGCTATATTTTCCAGTTCAGCAGTCCACATGAATACAGCTTCATTCTGTAGTTCTAGTAGACACTAAAATTAAAAACAAAAAACAAAAAGTAAATTACATCCTAGAACTTCTGCTTCTAGAAATGGAATATTAAGAACCAGATTCACCCTCTCTCCTGAAATAACCAAAAAACTGGACAAAATATATGAAACAACAGTTTTCAAGACACTGGACATCAGGCAATGAAGAACAGTTATCCTTAAGAGATGGGAAACAAACAAGATGAACCCTACAACTATCCCAGCTTACTGCCTTGAAAGAGTTTCCAGTACTTAGGGAGAAATGTATAATACTAAACCACTGTATTAGAAAAGAACAAGGGTTTCAAGTCAATAATCTCGGCTTCCACCTTAAGAAACTAGATGAGCAAATACAACACAAAATAAGCAGAAAAGGAAAATAATAAAGATAAGAAAGGAGATCAATGAACTATCACACTGAAAAATAATAGAAATACAACCAAAAGCTGCTTCATTGAGAAGACAAATTTGATAAACCTCTAGCCAGACCAATCAGGAAAAAAAAGTGAAAAGACATAAATTACCAAAATGAGGAATGAGAGAGGTCAAATCACTCCAGAGTCATCATGTATTAAAAGGGTTAAGAGAATATATGAAAACCTTTATGCCAATAAATTTGCCAACTTAGATGAAATAGATAACTCATTCAAGAAATGACAGATAACCTAAATAGCCCAATTTCGATTTTAAAAATAATGCTTTTGTAATTCAAAATATTTCCCCAAAGAAAACCCTAGGTCCAGATGGCTACACTGATGAATTCAACCAAATGTTTAGGTAAGAAATAATACCAATTCTGTACAAACTCTTCCAGAAAATTGAAGAAAACTTTCCAACTCACCCTATGAAGCCAGTTTCACCCAGACACTGAAACCTAACAATGACACAAGAGAAAACACTATACCAATATTGCTCATGAACATAGATACGAAAACTCACAAACTTTTAGCAACTCTAATACAAAATATATAAAATGAAAATACATCATGAACATGATCAAGTGGGATTTATCCTAGGAATGCAAGATTGACTAAAATTCTAAAACTAATTAATGCAATTCACCACATTAACAAACTAAAAAAGAAAGATCAAATGATCATTTCAATTGATATTGAAAAAAGATTGGACAGAATACAAGTAAAACTGGGGAAATCTGATTAAAATCAGATTGTGTCAATCTTAATGTCAATATCCTGGCTGTTGCATTGTGGTATACTTTTGCTAGATATTATCATTGGGGGAAATTGGGTAAAGGTTTATAAATATCCCTCTATATTATTTCTTACAATTGCATGTGAATCTACAATTATCTTGAAGTAAAAATTTAACCAGAAAATAGCAACAACAAAAACAACATAAGAAAACAAATTTAAACCAAAAGGCATTTGACAAAATCTAACATCCATTCCTGATAAAACATCTTAGGAAACCAGAAATAAAAGGGCACTTCCTCAACTGATAAAGGGCATCTATAAAACAACCTACAATTAACATCATACTTTCTAGCAAATGACTGTTTTCCCCTTAAGATCTGGATCTAGACAAGGATGTCTGCTCTCAAATATTCTATTCAACATTGTACTGAAGGATCTAGCCAGTACAATAAGACAAAAAGAAATGAAAGGAATTCAGAATGGAAAAAAGGTAAAACTGCCTTTATTCATAGACAACATGACCATCCACATAGAATATACAATAGAATCTACCAAAAGAAACTGACAGGACTAATAAGTCAGTTTAGCAGGATTGGTGGATACAAAATCAATGTACCAAAATTAATTCTAATTCTGGGCACAGTAGCTCATGCCTGTAATCCCAGAACTTTGGGAGGTCTAAGTGAAAGAATCACTTGAGGCCAGGAGTTGGAGACCAGCCTGAGCAACACAGTGAGACTCCTATCGCTACAAAAAGTTTAAAAATTAGTTGGGCATGGTGGCATGTGCTATATAGTCCTAGCTACTCAGGAGCATCACATGAGCCCAGGAGTTCAAGTTATAATGAGCTATGATCATGCCATTGCACTCCAGCCTTAGCAACATGGCAAGACCCTGTCTCTAAAAAAAAAAAAAAAAAAAAAAAAAAACAATTGTGTGTCTCTATGTTAATAACGAACAATTAGAAATTGAAATTTTTTAAAAATACCATTTAAAATAGCATTGCAAATATGAAATACTTAGGGATAAATCCGACAAAAGATGTTCAAGATCTATACACTGAACACCCCACAACACCACAAAATGTCACTAAGAGAAATCAAAGACCTAAAGAAATGGAGAGCTATATCATGTTCCTAGATTGGAAGACTTAATATTGTTAAGATGTCAATTCTCTCCAAATTGATCCCTAGACTCAATGCAACCTGAATCAAAACCTCAGCATGCTCATATCTATAATGCTAGTACACTGGGAGGCCGAGGCAGGAGGATTGCTCGAGCTCAGGAGTTCGAAACCAGCCTGAGCAATAGCGAGACCCTGTCTCTACTAAAAATAGAAAAGTTAGCTGGTCTTCATGGCGCACACCAGTAGTCCCAGCTACTCAGGAGGCTGAGGCAGGAGGATCACTTCAGCCCAGGAGTTTGAGGTTGCAGTGAGCTATGATCAGGCCACTGCATTCTAGCTGAGGTGACAGAATGAGATTCTGTCTCAAAAAAAAAACAAAAACCTCAGCATATTGTTGTGGACATTGATAAGCTAATTCCATAGTTCATATGAAAATGCAAAGGATCTAGAATTTTTAAAAAAGAACAAAGTTGGAGGGCTAAAACCACCTGATTTCAAGACTTATTTTAAAGGTACAATAATCAAGAAAAGTGTTGTTGGTATCACTACAGACAAATAGATCAGTGAAACAAAACAGAGTCCCAAAATACATCTACATGCATATGGACAACTGATTTTCAAAGGTGCAAAGGAAATTTAGTGAAGAAAAGATAAGCTTTTTAATGTGGTGCTGATGTGCTAGATATGCACATTAAAAAAAAAAACAACTTTGGTTCATACCTTGCACCATAAACAAAAATTAACTCAAAATCAATCATGTATCTAAGTGTAAAACTATGAAACTTCTAGAAGGAAACATAGGAGAAACCTCGAGTTAGGAAAAATTTTCTTAGATGTAACAGAGAAAGCACGATTCATATAAGAAAAATTGATAAACTGTACTTAAACAAATTCAAAACTTCTTAAAAAGGTACTATTTAGAGAATGAAAAGACAGGCCACAGACTGGGAAAAAATATTTGCAAATCATATCTCTGATAAGGGAATATATAAAGAACTTATAACACACTCTCAAAACTCAATAAGAAGAAAATATACTCCCCAATAAAACAATGGGCAAAAGATTGGACACATCTTTCTTCAAAGACTACATGGACAGCAAATAAGCAACTAGAAATATGCTTATCAGTCAGAGGGAAATTCAAATTAAAGCCACAATAGAAACTTGGACGTATCTATTAGAACAGCTAAAATAAAAAAGACTCTCAGTAACAAATGTTGGTGAGGATGTAGAACTGGAATTCTCATACAATGCTTGTGGAAATTTAAAATGTAAAATGGGGCAAGTACTTTGGAAAACAGTTTGGCAGTTTCTTAAAAAGTTAAGCATAAATTTGCCATATGATTCAGCCATTCCACTCCTAGATACTTACCCAAGTGAAATAAAAGTATATGTCCACGCAAAAATTCATATACAGACGTTCACAGCAGCTTTTTCTAAATGCTGCAAAGTGGAAGCAACCCAGATGTTTATAATAGATAAAGGAACAAATGAATGTGGTATATCCGTAATATGTACTATTCAGCAATAAAAAGAAATGAACTATTGATACATGTAATGACATAGATGAATTTCAAAATAATTATGCTGAGGGAAAGCAGCCAGAACACATATACATACAAAAGTACATCCCACATGATTCCATATATACATAGTTCTAAAAAATGAAACTAATTCATGGGAACAAAAAACATGCTGCAATTTAAAACTTTAAAGGAAAAAAAATCACTGTTTAAGAACTACCATGATAAGGAGCAGCATTACCAACTGCTCGAGTACTAACCTTGGCCACTGCACATCGAACTGCCATTGACCTGTCAGTCAGGAGAGACCTGGCATTCTTGTAAATATCACGATGAGAGGAAGCTGCCGCACCACCCAGTCCATTTAGAACTTTCTGTAGACTCATTAAGATTTCACTTCGCCCTTGAGACTAGATGTGTACATAAAACAAAACTTTAAAACTACATTGTACAAGAACATACCAAGACACAAAAGTTCTTTGGGTCTAACAGTCTTACCTCCAAATTATATACAATAAGTAATGAAAAGAAAAACAAAATTAAGTATTCTAGAAAGAACCTGAAAGGTAAGAATAATTATTCAATTAAACCTCTTTATGAAAAGTTCGGTTATAACAAGAAAACATACTCCAATGTTTCCATTACATACTGAAATACAATATAATGAGAACATGAAGACAAATTTGAAAGCTTCAATATCATATCTCAAGGGTCCAAACTTATAGAATGTAAAAGATTAAGTAAAAAATAGTTAAGAAGTAATACAAACCATCCAAAAGAAGAAGAAGAAAATATCCAACAAATTAAATATAACTTGTCAATAATATAGCAAACCTTCATCTTGTGACTAAAACTCTTGTTTCTATATTCTCATAGTGTTCATTCTTATTTCTAATAATATTTATTCACACATAGACCTCTTCCACTACGTTGTAAGCTCTTTGAGGTCAGGGATCATGTCTTATTCATCTTTGTGTGCCTAATGCCTAACAAATAACATGTCTTCAATTCTTGTTTAACAAATGAATAGACAAATAGTTCCCAGAGGAGGTATCCAATCCTAATCCAATGACTAGTACCCTTATAAGAGGATAAGAATTTAGACACAGAACACAGAGGACAGGAAGAAGGCCATGTGACAAAGGAGGCAGAGATTGGAGAGATACATGTCTAAACCAAGGAAGACCAAAGATTTCCAGCAACCACTAGAAGCTAAGAAGGAAAGGAAGCATTATTCCCTAGGGTCTTCAGAGGAAGTATAGGCCTGCTGACACTTAATTTTGGACTTCTAGCTTCCAGAACTGTAAGACAATAAATTTCAATTGTTTTAAGCCACGCAGTCTGTGGTAATTTATTATGGCAACCACAGGAAATTAATACATTAGCTATAGCACAAAAAATAAGAGGTCAATACAAAAATAACCATAGGGCTAAAAAAGAAAAATAGGTAAACCTATTGTTGTCAAGGAAAAGCATTCTTTCCTTACTTTCTGAAATACAAGGTAACGTACATTAAAAGAAGGGGCAAGTAATAATTTGAAATTACCTCTTTGCTAAGCAATATGAGTACCACAGTGACAGAAAAAAAGCACACATTTTTAAGTGACATCTAACTCTTGCCACAAGCAAAACATTCAAATAATATTTGTTGTAAAACTTACCTCTGCACTTTTCAGAGATTTCAAAAGATTATTTACTGTTTCTGGAAAAGCACTGCCCAACATTCTTCCCATTTTTTCATAAAATGCTCCAACACAAGCCACTGCAGCCCTGTAGGAAGTGATATTTTACTGGTCATTGTTCAGGTTAATGGTACAATTTCATCATACTTATCTTCAGAAATCAATTTGTATTTGCCTAGGACACTTTTGACTATAATTAATTTTCAACTTTCAAAAACAACTTGTTTATTCTTTACAATTACAACAAATACTATAGTTAATCGAATTGTATTCTTGTTAGGAATACAAAAGAATAAATATATATGTACATAATAAATCACACCCATCCTTTGTTAAGAAACCCAAGTTTTCCTTTCATGAAGACTTTCAAAGTTATGGCAATTGACAACAACGCCTCTCTTCCCTCATTATATATAACACTTAATGTCAACCACTCATTTTGACAAAATTATATCATTTACTGTGTTGTGACTTGACCATTTTATATGTCTTTTTATCCTATGAGTGGAAATGTAAACTCCATAAACAAGGAATGTATCTTATATATTTGTATTACTCACAGCGCCTGCCTGTGAACAATACAAATGTATAAGATATTTAGTAATCGTATACTATTATTTGTAAACTTGTAAAATCTAATCTAAATTGTATTAATGGAACACTTGGAAGAAGAAGGTAATAACAGCACATCTCTTTAGGAGTAAGAAATGACTCCACCATCACTCATGTCAATAGTAAATGAATAGCTGTGAGTTTAACTTAGAGGCAGGAGTAAAACACAGTGGTTAAGAGCAGATGCTCTGGAGTCTGTGCCTAAATCATAGAAATTGCCACCTAATAGCTATGTGACCTGACCAAGTTACAGATGAGAGAGGTTAAATAAATTTATCTTACAATCATACACATAACAAATAGTAGAATCAGGGAATCAACCTTCACCTCTTTGACTCCAAATCTCATGTTTTTTTCCATACTCTATAGGCTGATAATAAATTTAAAAATGGCTGAGGTCACAGGCCAGAATATATTAGGAAATTCCTAAAAGAACCCATGAATCCATTTTAAATACATATGAATAATATGTAATAAATTCTATTTAACCAGAACTACAAAATTATATATTTGCTAAGTGGTGGTGAACTAAATCATCAAAGTATTAACATAGCTTAAAACTCCAAAATAAACTAGAAAGCCCTAGTACTCTCTAATTTCCTCTAAAACTTCTGAGGTATCTAGCCCAGACAACACAAAAATCTAACCACAATGTAATCACCATCCAGGTTCAGAATAATTTCTCTATTTTCTCTGTAAGCTGTTACACTTGCCCTTGTCCCTGAATATTGGTGTTCTACAGTGGTATCCTTGGCCGTCTTCTCTTCTCAAATAATATATTCTTCCTAGGTAACTTTATTCATACTAAAGGGTTCAGCCTATTCCCAAATCTCTATTCCCTACTCACCAAAACTACATTCCCAACTCAGATCTCTGAAATCCAGACCAGGATTTCCAACCACCTACTACACTGTCACTCAGATATTCCCACTCCTAAAATTGAACTCATTATCTTCCCCTCACAACTGGTTCCTCCCTCCTCTATTTTTTATCTTCTGAAAAGCACAATAAGTAAAGTATAAACACGCCACTTTTGTTTCCAATTAGAAGTTTCCTTTACCTAGAAAACAGACTGGCAAACTACAGACAGTGGCCAAATCTGGCCCATCATCCAGCCTGCCACCTGTTTTTGTACTAAAGTTTTATTGGAACACAGCCATACCCATTCATTTACAGACTATCTATGACAGAGGTGAGTAGTTGCTACAGAAATGCATAGCCCACAAAACCAAAAGTACTTAATTATCTGGCCCTTTCCAGAAAGTCTGCTGACTCTCAGTATATCATATCCATCTTTGCTCCTCCCATCTTAACCCCTTACCTAATTTCCACGTATCCTTCTTTGATGGTTGATCTTCTTTAGCTGATGCTTCTTTGAGATGCCTTCCTTGGCAATGCTTTCCCCTTACACCATAACCAAGCTTATTAAGGTGTTATTTTCCTTCCCATAGCACTCTTCATTGTACTATACCTGTTGATTTTCTTATTTGATTCATTCATAGGACGCATCCCTATAGCCATTACCCTTAACACTTGCTCCAAAAAGTCTGCCCTTGACCCAAACCACAAGTATGGGCTAGGAGTTGGGTTAAGCTCTTAATCTAGGGGTCAGAAAACCTGCAGGCAAAATGGTCTCTTTCACAACTGCTGAACTCTGCCATTATAGTGTGAAAGCAGCTACCACCTAAATGAACAGGCATGTCTGTACTCCAACATAACTTTACTTACAAAACAGGCAGTAGGCTGGATGTGGCCTAGGAATAGGCTGTATTTTGCCTATTCCTGCTTCAATTACATCACCTAGAAACCCTTTTATGTCTCAGACAAGAATATTATCTCCACCCAAATTTACCAAAAGACCCCTGGGCAAATTGCTGACACCATACCAATTGTTGGCAGTGTGCTAGAAGTCCCAGTGGTAAATAGGTATGTGGAAGTAGACTCCCTTTCCCAGATCTACTTAGAGCTTTTATTGTCAGCAGAATGCCTCAGGTTCCACCCACCTGGGGGTCTTTATGGTCAGTAGTCCCTTACTAAGTTTCCCTGAAAGAACAAATAAAACTTCAAAGATCTCTGTCAAAGTAAATACTTACAATTTTGTTGGTAAGTAGGCTGCAGTGTCATCTTTATTTCTGATAATGTCATTACATTTATCAAGTGTTTGAAAAACTGTAAAAGTGTCTCCAATGCTATAAAGGGCTGCAAGATTTTTAGCTAACAATTTTCGGGTAGGTGGTCCAGGTGAACTACTTATTAATCCAGTTAATTGTTCAACAAGTTTTTTCTGTTTTTCCTTTACATCAGTCTGTTATAAAAAAAATTAAAGAGAGAACATTTTTTTCTTATATATACTTTTGCCACCTTTTAATCAAAAAATACTTAACATTTAAGGTTAAGTAATAATTACTTATAATTATTACTAATAATTAAAATCTATATTATCTTAAGCATAGAACCATAAATGATGATTTTCAAAAGAAGGAAAATTTCAGTAAGAAATGAACCATTCTTTCCTAGATTTTCTCCTTCATTCCTCTCCAGTGCTAACAAGTTAGCTTCCACTAAAAGTGACCACTTTGATTCAAAAAGTTTCCAGGCCAGCTTACTAAGAAATAAACCAATAGTCAAAGGATGGAAAATATTGGGTGTATGGACAACTGATATCTTAGAATCCAAATAGGTTTCCCACGTAAACGCAAAGTCAGTAATTCATAAAGTTACAGGTCAGTGAAAGAAACCAAAAGAAACTGAAGAGCCCTAGGAAACAAAAAAATACATATATCTACCTATAATCAATACCTAGAATTCATTTATTCATTCAAGAAATACTTATTGTGCATTTACAGTATGTCATGCACTATTCTAGGCACTGGGGTGCAACAGTGAACAAAACAAAGTCCCCGCCCTCATGAAGTTTACATTCTAGTGGGTAGGGATAGAGTTTACCAAATAAACAAATGAACAGTAGGAGTGCTTACTGTTTTATATAGACTAGCTAGAAAAGGTCTCTCTGAAAAGTGAAGGGCGGAGCTATGCAGGTGACTGGGGGAAGAACATTCCAGGCAGAGGGAATAAGAGGTGCAAAGGTCCTGAGCCCGGAGCATGCTTGGCATCCTTGAGGATAGCAAGAAGGCCAGTTTGGCCAAAGCAGAGTGAGAAAGAGAAAGTAGCAGGGCCAGGCGCGGTGGCTCACGCCTGTAATCCTAGCTCTCTGGGAGGCCGAGGCAGGAGGATTGTTTGAGCTCAGGAGTTCGAAACCAGCCTGAGCAAGAGCGAGACCCCATCTCTACTAAAATTAGAAAGAAATTAATTGGACAGCTAAAAATAAATAGAAAAAATTAGCCGGGCATGGTGGTGCATGCCTGTAGTCCCAGCTACTCGGGAGGCTGAGGCAGAAGGATCGCTTGAGCCCAGGAGTTTGAGGTTGATGTGAGCTAGGATGATGCCACAGCACTCTAGCCCGGGCAACACAGTGAGACTCTGTCTCAAAAAAAAAAAAAAAAAAAAAAAGAAAGAGAAAGTAGCAGGAGATGCAGTCAGAGGGTAAAAGGGAGCAGATCGTGCAGTGTCTTATATATCACTGTAAGAAATTTGTATTTTATTCTGAGCAGAGTTTGAAGCGGAGGAAGGTCATGATCTAAATGTTTTGACAGGCTCACTCTGACCGCTGAGCTGAGAATACTCTATAAGATACATGGATGGAAGTATCATGAGCAAACAGGGAGCAGTTACAGTAATCCAGATGAGAGATTATGGTGGTAACCATGGAGATGATAAGAAGTAAATAAATTCTGGAAATATCTGTGGATGAAATCACAGAATTTGCTGATGACTATGATGTGAAGTTTGAGAAAAACAGAGAAGTCAAGAATGACTCTAACGTTTTTGGCCTGAGCAACTAGAGGGATGAAAATGGTCATTTCCTGAGATGGAGAACACTAGGGAAGGGCAGGTTTGGGAGGGGAAATCGAGAATTTGGTTTGGATATGTTAACTCAGAGATGCCATTTAGACAAGAAAGAGGTGGAGTAAACAGCTGGATATCTGGGAGTCATTATCATATAGATGGTAGTAAAAATCATAAGATTAGACGATATCATTAAAGCAATAAGTATAGATAGAAAAAAAGTGCCCTAGACTGAGGAAGAGCCAACAAAAGAGAATGAGGAGTAGCTAGTGAAATAGAGGAAATAAAAGCAAATGGTGTCACGAGAAGCCACAAACAGGAAGAACTTCGTGTAACCTGTGCAAAGTAATGATAATCTTATTTTTTAATTTGGATGGAGAGTATATAGATAATATCATTATGCTTCATAACTTAGATATGTTTTATATACTCTTGTATTTATCAATTTCACAACAAAATAAAAAATGTTTTAGTGGTTCAAGGTCAAGGATCGGCTATGTCAAAAGATGGGGATGGATCAAATAAGACAGAATATCGGGGCAATTTGTGATCTGTGATAGCTGGAGAAGAGCTGTTTCGGTGGAGTGCAGAGGTCCCCAAACTTTTTGACACTAGGGGTTGGCGGGGGGGCATCACTTCAGATCATCAGGCATTGTATTCTCAAGGGGAGCACGCAACCTGGATCCCTGGCATGTGCAGTCTGTAGTGGGGTTCACACTCCTATGAGAATCTGATGCCATTGCTGATCTGACAGGGGGAAGGGGAGTGCTGGGGCAGTGATTCAAGCAAGCAATGGGGAGCCACTGTGGAGTGCTGGTGGGGCTTCTGTTCCCTTGCCCTGCTGCTCACCTCCTGCTGTGTGGTTCCTGGCAGGCTGCTGCCTGGGGTTGGGGACCACAGGAGTAGAGGCAACAAATGCCTAGGTGGAAGGGATTTAAGAGAAAATAGAAACTTCTAGTTAAAGATTGCAAGTGAATCCACATGTTAACTGTCTCTCTACAAACACCATGAAAAACATATTAAAAGACAACCCCCAAAAATGCACAGATCCACAAGGGTAAATAAAATAGGAAAAAGAATCAACACAAAATTTGGAAGCCAAATATTCCCAATAAGGAAAGCTGAAAAGAGACCCAACTGACAACACAAGACCTCCTAAGAGATCACGGTTTTTTTAGGTCCTAGATGCTTCTGGAGGTGGGAGTAAAGTTGTCCCTAGAAATGGGGGAATGGTTGAGAGTCTGTTTAAGAAGCTGTAAGACTCTCTCCTCCATTCCAGAAGAAGACAGGAATCTTATTCTCGGGAAAGAGTAAAATATCACATCTCTGGACTAGAGGACCCCTGGCATAGCTGTAGGTTGGGGAACTGCACTGAAAACAGGCATTGAGTAAAAGTTCACATACTGACTATTGAAGTCCCTAGTCTTCTCATCCAATTCCTAGAACCTAGGCAGCTAGCCATTAACCCTTCAGACACTAGAGTAGAAAACTCTCTTCTGGGAAATGATCAGCCTAGAGAAAGCTAAGATACTAAGATGAGGAACCAAACCAGCCTACAGTGAAGTCCAGTTAACAAAATTGGCCCTGCCCAGAAAATTCTTTACTACTCACCATTAAATTTGATCAGACAGCCAAAGATCATCAGACTTTTGAGCCAAGTATCTAATTTTAAAGGCAGAAAGCAAAACACTCAGACAATAAAAGGCAACTTGAATCAAAGAGACTATACAGGAAGAAAACAGAAAGAAAAAAATAAAAGCCTATTATTAACTCCTCAGAGAGTTAAGTGAAGATAATAGGATTGTTAGGCAGACTGAGAGACCACTAGTACTTGAAGATGATGAATTTAAAGTCACACCAGCCATGTAGTCATGTTTTTCTCCAGTCACACTGAGTTGCCCAGGTAGAGACATGCAATACGCAATAAGCTGAATTTAAATGACGTTTGGGTTTTACCAACGAATAGAAAAAAATAAACTAGAAATACCCATCAGTGTAATATTCCCAAATTCCATAAGTGACCCACAACCTTTCCAAAACATAATGTGTGTTTTCTTACAAATCATGAACACATAATCTTTCTATGTTAACCCAATCAGGAAAAAAAGCAATACCATACCTTGTTGGCAGCAACCAAGACCTTATCAAGAAATCGCAACCATTCAAAGATAAAAACTGGTCTCTTTGCTTCGGTGATTTGAGCCAAAGCTTCTTCATTTAGTAATAAACTGTGGGCTAACTCCATTACTGAACTTTTAAATTCCCACCTTAAAACAACAGAGCAAGAAGGATTTTGTGAGGATTTTTTTAATGTTAAAGCTTAATGAATGTAACCACTAAGAAATGAAAAGTATGACTTTATTTCCCATTTCATTTGGGGGGAAAATATAACAAGGCAAAACCTGAGAAGCTACTTTTAAAGGACAAAGGTACAAAAACAACCGTGCTTGGTGAGGAAGAATGAATAATGGGATGAAAGGAAAACTGAATATTGCAAAAAGGGCATTATTCCAGAAGAAATCTGCCTAGCAACACATATGTCATGAACTTGTTCTATAAATGAGAAAAAACTGAAGCACCAAGATCAAACACAACAGCTGGGCCTGACAACCCATCCTCCTTTTTTTCTCGTCCACCTCTCGGTACATAGCATCTTTACCCCTCCCCCGCTGCACCTAGCCCAGGAGGAGGTCAAAACCTGCCAGCCTAAAGACCCCAAACTGCACGTCTCCAAGACTCTTCCTGCAGGCACGGGTCGGGGTCCCCGCGGCCGCAGCGTCAGTGACAGCACCGGGTGGTCCAGGAATGCAGGCGACAGAGGCCTCGCGCGCTCGGGATCTGAATTAACCCGGCTACTCCAAGGACCGCAGCGCGGTGCCAGGTCGAGAGGGGCGGAGGGTGGGAGGGATGCAAGAGGCCGCCGCAGGCCTCTGCAGGGTTCCTCAGGTTGTCAACCGCACGGGGATGCGGCTCCGAACCAAGCACGGAGCCAGAAAAGGGAAAGTGTTCATAACGAACTCGAATTTCCTCCCCACCCCTCTACAAATGTACTGGGGAAAAGGGGTTTGTGTGCGCGTCAACGTGTATGGTCCCACGACCTCACCTCCCAGACTGGGGCCGATCAGCTGAGCTCCAGGGGTAGAGGCAGCCACCAAGGGACCCGGATGCCCCGCCTCCCGCACTGGGGCCAACAGGAAACGAGGGAAGAGCGCGTGCGCGGAAAACTGGTCCTGCGCAAGCGCACTCACCACGTCCTCCTAGCCCCGCCTGCTGCAAGTTTCCAATTGAGTCTGCGCTCGTATACTCAGTCTGGCCAGAAGCGAATCGGCGCGAGTAGAGCTACCAGGTAAGGAACTGGGGGCGATCGGTAGGATGGTAAAAGGGAGTGCGCGTTGGCTGGCCATGATTACCCATCGCACCATCAGCCTCTTTCCCATCCGTGGGTGGTCGAGTCTATGGGACGCCTGTAGCTAGGAAGAACGCGGGAGGGAAGGGGTCAGCGTTTCCTGAGGGAAGTGTTTGGGAGTGAGGCGTTTCTTGTCACCTTTCTACTGTATATCCAGCTGTGTAGTCCATCTCTCCACTCGTTTATGTAATGGGACTCTCAATATGTCTGAAACAGCACTCTTGTTGCCACTTTCCCGCCGCTACAGAAAAATAAAGAAAGAGGGAGAGAGAGAAAGAAAGAAAAGAGAGAAAGAAAGAAACCTACTCCTACAGTCTTCCCACTCTCAAAAAATGTTAACGCCTTTCTTCCATGTATTTAGGCCAAAAGCTTGGCGTAATCCTGACATCGTTCTTCATACGCCACCTAAAATCCACCAGCAAATCCTGCAAGCTCTACCTTCAAATATACCCCAAATCCGACCATTTCCATTGCTCTGGTCCAGGCCACTGTCATCTTTGCCAGGATATCACCTTGTAAAGTTTATGTTTATGTTTAATGGGAATTGATAATGCTAAAGTTTATTGTACCAATAGAAAGGGTGCTTTACAAACAACTGTAACTCCATTCAGATCTGCCTAGCACTTTAGAGCTAAATATAGCTTAAAATAATAAAATAATTAAAAATAATCTAATCCTTAAGAATAAGCTAATCCTATTTACAGTAGCAAGACTGCTGAGACCTGAATTCGTTGTTATTTTGAGCAAGTCATTTAGCCAGACTGGGTCTTAATTTCTCCAATTGAAAAGCAGAGCTAGCTATTCCTACCTCATAGAGTTGTTAACGATGATTAAGTGATAAAAATATATGATATACTGGGTAAGTGCTAAACCATTGTGTGTAAAAAAACCTATCATTACAAATGAAGAATCTGAGGTTTAGAGACAGTCAGTGAATTACCACAAATGCTGTATATAATCATACACATTTTTAACTTATAATTAAAAATAGGTAAACTAAACTGTAATGTTTAAGGACGCACAAGTGGATAATGAAACTGTAAAGAAAAAGAAGGAAGTAATTGCCATTAAAGACAGAATAGTGACTATTCCTAGAACTAAAGGAGGGGTGTGATTGGGTAGGGGACAGAGAAGGCTCCCAGGTAGCTGAAAAGGTTCTATCTCCTGATGTGGGTGATGGTTTGTATTATGTTTTGCTGTATAACAGACTGTTACTGTCATTTACTATCTCACAGTTTCTGTGGATCAGGAATTGGTTAGCAACTTAGCTTAACTTAGCTTGGACTTTTAAGAAGTTGTAGTGAAGATGCCAGACAGGCTGAGTCATCTGAAGGCTTGACTGGGGAAGAGGAGCCATTTCCAAGGTGGCTCACTTTGTGGCTCACAAGTCTGTGCTGGCTGTTGACAGGAGGCCTCAGTTCCTCCTATGTGGCCTTCCCCATAGAGCTTCATGAGTGTCTTCATTATGTGACAGCTGACTTCCTTCCAGTGAGGCATCTACTAACTTCAGAGTTAAAGTGATCTAAGAGCCGCAGTGTCTATTATGACCAAAATGTCAACTCCATCATTTCCATAAGATCTTATTGTTTATACAGGTCAATCCTGTTCACTGTAGTAGGAGACTACACAAGGATATTTCGAACCAAGAGGCAAGAATCATTGGGGGCCATCTTGGAGGGTACCACAAGGTTACAAGAGCATTTGCCTCACAGTAATTAAGTAAGTATACATTTGTTTTATGTATTTTCTGTGTTTATGGTATATTTGTTAAAAACTATTTAAAAATGACATGTTGACGTAAGAAAAAGCATTCTATTATTACAAAATCACAAATATTAAAGACCTTTGTGCTCATTGTAGTTAAACATATGCTAATAATTTATGATGTTTGGGATGCAGTGGTAGGTAGGGAGGATATAGACTCATCTTTGTGTTTTATAGCCTACTTGAGAAGACATATACTAAAAATATTGAAAACCAGTACTGTAATCCTTTTTTCATCCAGTGTAATTGTCCATATTCTTGGTTGCAGTTGACAGGACCCCTACTGAAGCAAGCTTAAATAATGCAGAAATGTATTAGTGTGTTTTGCTGGGAAGAATGCTAGATCACAGCATCAAAGAAATCAGGGCCTTGGAAACTAGAATTGGTGACTTCTTGCTTTTAGGCTTGTCTTTCTCCATTTTCTCTATCTGGCTTCATTCTTCAGACAGGTTCTCTTCATATGGCCCAGAAGATGGCCGTCCACAGGCCAGCTTCAGAAACCCCACTTAAAAAGAGCTTCTTTTCTCCATAACCCATATATTCATATCATATAAGGAAAGAGATGCATATTTTCCCTTTTGGGTCATCCCTCCCTTGTTGCTGGGACATAGGGTACTATAATTGGCTGTCTTTGTGCCCAAGGGAATAAAGGGTACTGATATTGCCACTCTCTACTAGAACCACATGGAGGGCAGAGGGCTGGGTTCCCAAAGAAAAGAATGATGGGCAGGATTAAACAACATATGTGTATACACTTTTGTCTTTAGCAACTGGACTAGCAACATTGCCTGGGAACCTGTTAGAGTGCAAAACCTCAGGTTCCAGCCCCAGAATCAGATTCTGTATTTTAAGATAGCAGGGCAATCCATATACATGATAAAGTTTAAGAAGCAATTTTCTAGATAATTATTTTAATCCTGTAAGGGCTAATAGTTACATGATTTTAAATATGTTGGATGGAAACTATTCCCCAAAATATTTCCATATAAGTGAGGTGTTAACTATGTCAAGTTCCAAATGAGCAGCTTGAACATAAACGTCTATAGAGAGAGTACAGGTTTTTGGCCTAGCAGGAAGGGAATGTCTGTAGTATATTCAGAGGGCAAAGAGAAGCCAATGTGGCTTGAATAGTGAATCCTAAAGGAGAGTCAGGTCAGATTATGAAGGATGACATCTCCTACTTTGCTAGAGTGGCTGGTCTGCCCCTGCCTACAGGGTCAAGTTTATCGAAGGGTTTGAAATAGGAGAGTAACCTAACTTGATTTGTATTTAAAAAATAATAATAATAACAACTCTGGAGCGGGTGCTGAGGATGGATTGGAAGAGGAGAGGCCAAAAGCAATGAGACCAGTTAGGAAACTTGTAACAGTTTAGGTGAGAAAAAGGTGCTTGAACTAAAGAAGTGGTCACAACTGTAGGCAAAATGTCTGTGAGGAATATTATGGAGGAAGAATTGACAGAGGTGTATAAGAGGTCAGAACAGGGAGATAGTGATGACATTCATGTGGAAATACAGGAATGCAGAAGGCTTGGGGGGGAAGGTAATGAGTTGTTTGGGTTGTTGAGTTTGAGAGCTCCACAGGTAAAGATGTCCAGAGGGCACTCAAATAGGTAGTAGAGCTCTAGAGAAAGCTCATGGCTGGGGGTACATAAGGGTTTATTTCCATTTTGATAGACTAAAATATATATATATATATATATATATATATATGTAGGAATTCTTACTTTATCCTATTTGATTATAGATATTATTGCCATATTAAGTTGAACATGGCAGAAGAAGAGGACTATATGTCTGATTCCTTCGTTAATGTCCAGTAAGTAAATGTGCACACCTAACATAATGATACATATAAACATGTAGATTATTAAGCAATGACATTGATTTTTAAATGTGAAGTTGGAAAGTTAGTCTTGCTTTATGGAAATACTTCTTATGTCTCCATACAAAGATACTAAGAGCCTCTTCTTCCTTTCTTTTTTTGAGACACAGTCTCACTCTGCTGCCTGGGCTGGAGTGCCATGACATCAGCATAGCTCACAGCAACCTCAAACTTCCGGGCTCAAGTGATCCTCCTGCCTCAGCCTCCCAAGTAGCTGGGACTACAGGCATACACCACCACGCCCAGCTAATTTTTTCTATTTTTAGTTGTCTGGCTAATTTTTTCTGTTTTTAGTAGAGACGGGGTCTCGCTTTTGCTCAGGCTGATCTCAAACTCCTGACCTGAAGTGATCCTCCTGCCTCCACCTCCCGGAGTACTGGGATTACAGGCGTGAGCAACAGCACCCTGCCCCTTCTTCCTTTTAATGCTAACTATTTTTCTTCTGCCCTTGATCCTTTTTATTGCCTTCTTCCAAGGAAATTTACTCCTTTTCTTTTATTTCATCTTATTGTCTCTTCTAGCTGCTATTCACTTTTGTTCTTTATTGCCAACCTCCTAAAAAAATTAGTCTAAACTTACTATTTCTAATTTCTTCAGTTCTATATTTCCTTTAGTTTCCTACAACCTGGCACCAGCCTTCATCATTTCTACTAAAACAGCCATTCTTGGAGGTCACTGATTATGCTGTAACATCAGTGATGACAAAGATATCCTAGAAGTAGTGCTGAAATATTAACTAGTGTCAAGAGTATTGGCAGAGTTATGAGAAAACTTCATGTACTCTTCTAAAATAACTTCTTCCATTATTGTTCAGAGAAGATGTCAGACCAGGATTGCCAATGCTGAGGCAAATCCGAGAAGCCCGTCGAAAAGAAGAAAAGCAACAGGAAGCAAATTTGAAAAATAGGCAGAAGAGTTTAAAAGAAGAAGAACAAGAAAGACGTGACATTGGGTTGAAGAATGCACTAGGCTGTGAAAACAAAGGGTTTGCTTTGCTCCAAAAGATGGGATATAAAAGTGGTCAGGCTCTTGGCAAAAGTGGTAAGTCTATTCAGAAATAGACAGGTTTTCCTAACCACCCAATTGTGATTTATTGATGAGGACCAAAGCTGATGCTTTAATTTTTATCCATCTACACAGAAATTAAAACAACTTAAACTTTTCAGTCTCTTAAGTGCTAACAAGCCTTATAGGAAACATTTATCTTCTCATATCCATTTTAGACCCCACATGTGCCATCAAGAGCTGTTTATCAGCCCATCTTAGCTGTGCAGGCACTAACAACAGAGATGGATGTGGCTTACAATAGAAGCAGCAAAGAATGGTGACAGGTGATGGGCTGAGAAGTGCAATGGCCAAAGACAGTGAAACAGCATTGAGGATGATGGCAGGACCCTGCCCTGCTTGCTCTGTACCTATGGCAACTGTCTGAGTGACCATCCAGTCAGAGACTCTCAATTCTCACCTCCCTTTTTCAGAAGTGAAACTGTTTATTAAGATGTAGAGAGTGTATACCTGGAGAGAGGCTATATATTTATAGTAGCTTCTGTAAACTCTTTTTCTTTTCTCTCCTTTATTATATTAATAATTGCTTTGCTTTCTCTTAAGGCTGTCATCCTCTTGGACCTATATTATCAGTGTTGTCACTTGTTTCTTTTTTTCTTTATTGGGGACAGGGTCTCACTATTTTGCCCAGGCTGGATTCAAGCTCCTGGGCTCAGGTGATCCTCTTGCCTCAGCCTCCCAAGTAGCTGGGAGTACAGGTGTGCACCGCTATGCCTAGCTAGTGTTGTCACTTCTTAAAACCCCACCTTCAGGTGGCATAAGAGGCTGTGAATTAGCCTTGATGATGACTAGGTATTTGAAGACAAGGGAGGTAATTGACAATATGTAGAGTATTGATGTTCAGATTTCAGTTTTGAATATCATTGAAACTTGAGGGGATATGCATAGAGCATTATAAAGTTGCATGCTACACTGGCCTGTACTTTGAGGAAGAATTTGTTTTTTTGTTGTTTTTTTGTTCTGTTTTGTCTTCACTAGAACTGTTTTGGTATTAAAAAATGGCAGGTGCTTCAAAATATTATGCCTGGTTTGTTAACGCACATGAGATAACAATAGGTGATGAAGAATTCCTAAAGTCGTTTGTGTTTTATTCTCTTTTTTAGGAGATGGTATTGTTGAACCAATTCCTCTCAATGTCAAAACAGGTAATGTCATTGTTTTTGAGCATATTTACCAGTAATAATAACTTTACAATTAGATTTATTCAATAAATACTTTTTTTATGATGGTACTGTTACAGTTCTTATCATAGGAAGCTTTCAGTAAAATTTTGTTAGTTAAACTTCTAACATTTTAAACTAGAAATAAAAGTAAGTTTTAGTGAGTATGAAATATAATTCAGATCATAAAAATATGGAGAAAAACATCGTTAACCACTGAAAGCACAATACTATTTTTGTCCATTGAGGAAGTGTTCTGAGACAGACTTATCCATTACATGTTTTGCTTAATACTTTAGATAAATTCAAGAGAACAAATATATTTTATTAATATTTATCATATTTAAATAAAAGTATGACAGTTCATGGTGTTTTCCTGATTTTAGAAAAACATTTGTATAGTATTACTGTAAGATGAGACTAATGATCTTTGTAAAAATCAGATCATGTGTTTGGGCTTTGGAAAAAAAAAAAAACCTAGTGTTTTCTCCTATTATTCTAGTCAAATGATTTGTGAGTAATTGTATGCAAATGGGACTTGCATTAATTTGCAAATATTTAAATTGTTGTATTTTAAAGTACCAAGTCAGTAAGTTTCTCATCAGAATTTTCTATTTGAACAGGGAAGAGTGGCATCGGTCACGAGGCATTATTGAAACGGAAAGCGGAGGAAAAATTAGAAAGCTACAGAAGAAAGATTCACATGAAAAACCAAGTTGAAGAAAAAGCTGCAGAACAGTTTCGGTAAGACTGTATATTTGAGCTGTTTTTGGTTTCATCTCCTCTTTATTGTATGTTCTCTGGTATTTGGCCATAGGAAATGGCTAAGGAGAATACAGACCTTTAGTGTACAATTTTTTCTTTCAATTAGAATGCGACTTAAAACTAAGCAAGATGAGATGAAGCTAGAAGGAGATCTTAGAAGAAGCCAGCGAGCCTGTCAACAATTGGATGCCCAAAAAGTAAGCCTTTTACCTGCTTTCGGTTTAGTAAAGTGTTTTGGCACCCAGTATGATTTGCCATATATTTTTATTTAAAAAAACAAAACAAAACTCCAAGCCTGCTTTATCTAGCTTTCCACCCATGAAAGCTTTCACTTAACATGCACTACTAACCTATGATAATTGATAGAATAATGGCTTATTTACTGCAAGAAGCTACGTTGTGTGTGAATTACCCAATAAGTATGTGCAGAAATTTTGTTCTTCATAGTATTTGATTAACCAGAATTGCCTATTTCAGTTCATATTCAGTATCTTGCATGTGTCTAACTAGTAAGATCAAGTGGAATGCTATCTATTTCAGATTTGAATGGTTTAAAAAAATTCTATCTTTGCCTTTATCTTAGATATTCAGGTACCATAAAAATAAAATAACTGCATTTGAAGTCTCAAAAATGTTTGTAAAATTTTCCTCATATAAATAGAATGCTGGAAGCAATCTCTCACTTTTCTGTATTTACATAGCACTTTGTTTTGAATATATTTCATGACACTTATGATTTCTTAGCATGTATTTATTATTTCATACACATTTTTTCCGTCAGACTATTAGCAGCAATTTGGAGACAGTATTGTAATTGAATTTTGCATCCACATAGTTCATGGCACAGTGCTTTTACTGTTTAAGCAGCACACCGTGAATATTTATTGGAAGAATGAATTTATGTTGACATGAACATACTGTGAATCATATGTTTCGCTATGCTTAATTGAGAATAATTCTGTATTTTCAGAATATTCAGGTTCCCAGGGAGGCATGGTACTGGTTGAGGCTTGAAGAGGAGACTGAAGAAGAGGAAGAGGAAGAAAAAGAAGAGGATGAAGATGAATATAAGAGTGAAGATTTAAGTGTATGTTCTGGCACCGTTTCCTTTGTAGCGAGGTGTCTCAGCTTTGGTATTATTAACACTTTGAGCCAGGGTAATCCCTTGTTGTGGGGGGCCGTCCTTTGCACAGTAAAATGTTTAGCAGCATCCCTGGCCTCTGCCCACCAGATGCCATTTGCACCTCTCTTTGTGAAAACCAAAAATGTCTCCAGACATTGCTAAATGTCCCCTAAGGGGAAAAATAGCCCATGGTTGAAAACAGCTACATTACAGGATTATTTTATTAACCCAAAATCAAAACTTTCATGTAATTTTCCCTTTAGCTTCCATTTGCCCTCTCACCTCAGCTTTAGTTTGGATGATGGATTAGCTGCAAATGTAAATTATTTAAATTTTTTTAATATGCACGTTTTATTTTATTTCATAATATTATGGGGGTACAAACACTTTGGTTGCATATATTGCCTTTGCACCATCCAAGTCAGAGCTACAAGTGTGCCCATCCCCTAGACAATGCGTACCACACCCATTATGTGTGAATTTACCCATCCCATCCTCCTCCTACGTGCCCAACAACCGATGAATGTTACGTCCATTTGTGCACATAGTGTTGAGTTTATGCTTTGTTTCCTGTTAAACTTCTGGAAGTGATTCTAAATGTGTACTTCTTTCCCCACCCATAAAAAAAAACAGAACAAAACAAAAAAATACAATCAAAAGGAAGTAGAGATTACTCAAGAAAGGAAGATATACACCTATGGTTACTTGAGTATAAGAATTTTGTAGAAAATTTTCACTATTTGGAAAGCCTGTGTTCCACTTAACTGGGAGTCCATTAATGAGAACTTATATGGCACAATGTGGCAGTGTTCATCTTTACCTTATCTGAAGGAAATAGATGCCTTGAAAGTAGAAAGGGTCTTTAAAGGATGCTGATTATAATAAAGCCAGCCAAAACTATTTTCTGAATGTTAACACGTAGTCCCAATTGTGTCTGGCAGACTTGTGAAAATCTCACGGTGGCTAATAAACTGGAACATATTCGAATATATTATTAATACTTCTGCCCTTGACACCTCTAATAACTATTTGAGAATATAACAGAAGATTTATAGCCTTTGGCTAATTTGGCGTGATCTAAGAACCAGAAAACTAAGGTTTTGTTCAATGTGAACTATTAATATGCTTGGGTCCTCTATCTAGGTACTGGAAAAATTGCAAATATTGACTAGTTATTTAAGACAAGAACATCTATATTGTATTTGGTGTGGAACAGCCTATGAAGGTAAGAAAATGCTTTATACTTTTTAAAAATATTGAATATAAATGCTCTGATTTTTAGTAAAAGTCACATTTCTAACAGACAATGAAAGTTTTCTATTCCATTTGTCTTCAAAAAGTAGTGGATATAGGCTGGGCGCGGTGGCTCACGCCTGTAATCCTAGCACTCTGGGAGGCCGAGGCGGGCAGATTGTTTGAGCTCAGGAGTTTGAGACCAGCCTGAGCAAGAGCGAGACCCCTTCTCTACTAAAAATAGAAAGAAATTAATTGGACAGCTAAAAATATATAGAAAAAACTAGCCGGGCATGGTGGCGCATGCCTGTAGTCCCAGCTACTCGGGAGGCTGAGGCAGTAGGATCGCTTGAGCCCAGGAGTTTGAGGTTGCTGTGAGCTAGGCTGATGCCATGGCACTGTAGCCCAGGCAACAAAGTGAGACTCTGTCTCAAAAAAAAAAAAAAAAAAAAGAAAAAAATAGTGGATATAGAAATAATTGAGGCCTTATTAAAATTACATGTAACTTTTCAGAAACAATATGCAGAAGGGAATTTTTCAGTGTTTTGTTTCAAAAGAAATAATTTTAAACTAACCCTGAGGATGATGAATTTTTTTCATACTTTATTTTTAAAGATTCTTTCTTGGGCTACAGATATTTGAAAGATGTTTATATTAAACTTTCAGAACTAACTTTTATGTAGTTAGGTAGAATATTGTCCCTAAAACATAAAAATTAGATATATTGAAATCCACTCCATTTTTTTTTCATTGTAATGAAAGAAATGGTTTAAAACTTGCTAAATGACTTATAGAGCTAAGTGCTTCCACTCCTAATGCATTTGTCCAAGCTGCCTTTGCTAACTTGTATTTAAGAACTTTGTACTTGAGAGTGAAGAATTTTTGGTTATTGTTGTTTTTATCTTTTCCTGGTTTATTTAGTAAAGTAGCAAACACAGCAGATCAAAAATAAATGTCATATTGAAATTATTTTCTAGAATATTTTACTATAAGAGTTGTATTAATTTTTTATTTTCCTCACATAAATTACAGATAAAGAAGACCTATCTTCAAATTGCCCAGGACCAACTTCTGCAGATCATGACTAAGATTATTCCCAATAAAGTGGAAACTTGAAAAATGTCATTGTTTTCTAGAGGTAGACAATTCAGCAGTTAGAAATCCCAAATTGTTTGTTCGAGTAAAGAAAGAGAGCCTTTACATAATGTTTTGTTCTTTTTGTACTTTAGAAGTACATACTTTGTACTTTAGAAAATAATCGCTCACTAACTCAAAAAAAAATAATGCTATTTGAGAACACAAGTGTCATAGACATGTATAATTACAATTTATGGCTATATTGTGACGTTTGTGAGGCTTAAGAACACCAAGTAACTCTCTTATTCTCCTCGTCACTTTGGAACAAAGTGAGAAATAAGACATGGGAATCAGAGGGAGCTAAAAATAACCAGGTTTATCAGTAATGAAGCTGAATTAGGGAACATGGTTGATCTTTTCTCCAATCAGACTCCCAATATTTCTCCCTGATTGGAGGGAACTGCAGGCCTCTGCCTTGTTGGAGCAGAGCCCATCTTTGCATTCTGCCACCAGTTAGCTTTCATGGTTAGGGAACCCACCAGGAATGAACGAGGTTCAGAGAACTTGTTCCCATCCTTCTCTCTCCCAAGGAGCAAGGAGAAGTTCCCTTCCCTTCACCCAAGCATGAGGAGGAGGGGAAAAGTATTCCCCTCAATAAGACTGATGTCAGAGGCAATGTTCCACTAACCTACTAAATTCTAATCAGTTTTAGAGACAAAGTAATTATGATATTTCTGGTAAAATCATGAGTTTTCATGGCAATGTATATATCCATTGTAAGGGATCTGTTATAAGTTTTTTGGCTAACGAAACTTAATTGGGAAGAACCTTAAGTATCATGTGATCTAAGTACTTACTGAATTTGGAATCCCCTTGACAACATTCCTAGCAGGTGTTGATTCAACTTCTACCTTTAAAGTAAGGACATACTACATGGCACACTATTGAAGAGCTCCATCCAGGGTCAGGCATCAAAATCAGGAACCTTTTCAAAAGTTCATATGCTCCGGTGTCTCCGTTAGTGATTTTGATTTAACTAGTGTTCCTGGATATCTGTATTTATTTTAAAGTCCCACGAGTGAGTCCCATAAGCACCTGAGGATAAGAGCTAGTGCTGTAGGTTATTATAAATATAGAGCAGCACTGTTCTTTGGATAGAGTTGTAATCTCACTTCTGTGATTTTACAGTTCACCTTTCAAGTTGCATTGAGCAAGAAAGCAACTTCTTCGTTTATTAGAAACAACATACAGAAGAAAAAACAAAAGCTAACCTACACTTGCATAGGTTAAGATAATCAATAGTATAACTAGTATTAGTTTCTGACCTAATATTACCTAATTCACTTGTTCTTCACTTTAACTTGAGGAGCTTTAAAAAATAATAAGACAAGGGTCTTACCCCCAGGGATTCAGATGTAATTGGTCGCTGTGGCTTGGGCATCCTATCCTTGATTCTGAGGTGCAGCAGAGCTTAAGAACCATTAATCTGGTTAACTTCTGGGCCTCAGTTCTTCATCCAGAAAGCTAGTTATTATTTTTATGAATGTAAATATATATATAAAGTATTTAAAGTTTATATGGTTTCAATACTGTTGTTTAATGTTTAGTTTTTTGTTTAAAAATAATAAAATGTATTAGTAGCAAAAACAAAAGAGTACATCTTTCCCTTGTAATCACAGTTAAATCTTTTCCTGTCATTTCAGCCAACATACCAACATTCAATCAGTACCTGAGCCATGTGGATAATTTCAGATGGAATAGAGTTAGGCAGGGGCCGGCTTCCCTTTTTCTTACTGAATATGGGGAGAACCCACCATCTATTCAGTGACCTAAAATATTTTGAATATGTTCATGATAATTATGCTGAGAATGTTGGAATAATGTTGATAGAACCCATGACTTCACGAGGATTGTGGTCTACATTTATAGGCCTGGGGCTAGAACTAGACCATCCTTAGATACTGGGAGATAGCACTCCATTCTCATCTATCTAGGGTTAAAAATACAGGCTTTCAGCCAGGTGTGGCAAGCTGAGGCAGGAGGATCCCTTGAGTCCAGAAGTTTGAGCCTGGGCACCATAGTGAGAAACGACATCCCAAATATATATATATGTGAATAAAAATTTATTTTTATTCATATAGGCCTTTTATGATTTCATGACTAGGCAATAATGAAAACTCAAGGAAGCAAAACATTGAAAAGAATTTTTTAATTTGCTTTAGAACATTCATATGAAATTTGAAACTTTAAAGCAAAGTAAGTTTTAACACATCATATTGTCAGTTACTTTTGTTTATATTGTGTTACATTTATTTTCACAGTCCTATCTAGAATTTCTAAAATATCTCATTTTCTTAACTAAAAAACCAATACTGTACCTTCTGAAATTTAAATACTTTAATGTGCCAAATTGGTTTCCCTTACACACGTTTATTTCAAGCATTATTTGCCAAACATTTAATTGTTGAAATCTGAAAGTGAACATTATTACCTAATATCAGGCACATTTTGTAGAATTAAGCATATGAAATTCTTAAACATTTCTACTACACCAATTCAAAAGCACTTACAGAGTTCCTGCTTTCTGCAGGGCAGTGCACTGGCTGCCTTGGAGTATACAAAAATAAGAGCACCTACCCCCTCCCCCTCCCCCCGCTTTCCACAAATTCCCAGTATAACGAGAGAAACAGCTTTGCAGGAATGACCAAGCTCCAAGATGAACTGGTAAGCACAATAATGAGGCACTAAACAATGAGAGTGCTAGAGACAAGATTCATTTTTAGAGGGAGATGGTAGAACACTGCAGAAGTATCACTGAATTTGGGTTCTGACAGGTGGATATAACTTTGATATACAAAGGTATGAGGACCCTGCACTCCTCCTGGGTATACAAATATGAGAAGTGAGAACATGTCCACATAAAACATGGACACAAATGTTTGTGGTAGCTTTATTCATAATAACCAAAAAGTGGAAACAACCCAGTGTCCACCGATTAATGAATTGGATACATAAAATATGATATATCCATAAAACAGGTTATTATTTGCAAATAGAAAAGAATGACGAACTGAACCATGCTACAATATAGATGAACCTTGAAAACATACTAAGTGAAAAAGATCATATGTATGATTCTACGAAATGTACAGAATGGTAAAATCTGTAGAGACAAAGTAGATTTATGCATGGTTGCTTAGAGCTATGAGAAAATGGAGTGTGAAGTTGATGGGTGTAGGGTTTCGTTTTGGGGTGAGAAAAATGTTTTAAAATTGATTGTGACGGGGCCGGGCGCGGTGGCTCACACCTGTAATCCTAGCACTCTGGGAGGCCGAGGCAGGCGGATTGTTTGAGCTCAGGAGTTAGAAACCAACCTGAGCAAGAGCGAGACCCCGTCTCTACTAAAAATAGGAAGAAATTAATTGGACAACTAAAAATATATAGAAAAAATTAGCCGGACATGGTGGCACTACTCGGGAGGCTGAGGCAGAAGATCACTTGAGCCCAGGAGTTTGAGGTTGCTGTGAGCTAGGCTGACGCCACGGCACTCACTCTAGACCGGGCAAAAGAGTGAGACTCTGTCTCAAAAAAAAAAAATTGATTGTGACGATGGTCGCACCATTCTGTGAATATACTAAACACCATTTAGTTGTACACTTTATAGGTGAGTTGTATGGTATGTGAGTTATATCTCAATAAAGCTGTTATTTAAAAAAAAAAGTCTGGGCACAGTGGCTCATACCTGTAATCCTAGCACTTTGAGAGGCTGAGGCAGGAGAATTGCTTAAAGGCCAGGAGTTCGAGACCAGCCTGAGCAAGAGCAAGATGCCATCTCTACAAATGTGTGTTGTTTTAAGCCCCCAAGTAATTTGTTAGTTACAGCAGCCATAATAAATTAACACAGGTCTCAATCAAATTAACCCAAAAAGAGCCACATATATTTGAGAAGCATTTTGTTTCAGGGTTTTGCAATAGTAGTAAAAAATTAAGTGGAAAAATGAAAATAAAAGATAAATTTATATTGCTATTCCATACCAGATCTTAGATGATTAAAGGAAATAGCATAACAGAAGCAGGCTACTTTTTTAGAAGGGCCCTAACGTGTGTTTCGTTTCTTTTTCTCTGAGACATCATCCCTCCACACTGACAAGGTTTTCAGTATTTCAGATGTGGTAGGTCGCTGATCGGGTTGCTTTGAGAGTAATTTCCGTAGAAGAATTTTCTGTAATGATAGTGAGAGTCAATACTGAGAAATAAAACATTGAAAGAAATAAAATTCTGATTATTTTCAAGAGCTTACTTCTTTGTCATCGAATAGATCCCGGAAGATACCATTCCTTAGATCTCTGAAAATCTGAAAATAAAACATATATATATATAAGGAAATTATTTACTTGGGAGGAAAAACAAACAGAAAGCACTAAAGGCTGAGGATACCCTAAATCTAGGTAGGGTGTTTCCAGATCTTTGGGAAAGTCTCTTTGGCCGAGAAGCAAGCAGGATTCCCTTCCACCCACCCTGGCCCCAATCTGTAATAACAACCATCCTGACATTACAGTGTCAAGTGACAAGTGCTTCATATTCATTATCTCCCTTCATCCTTTTTCAAACTCTATGTGGTAGGTACTTTCTATTCGTTTTGCAGAGGATAAGGCTATTGACTCCAGCTGAGTCCTCTTTCCTGAGCTCCAGAGTAAGATAACTAAGTTGCCCACTGCCTTTAGTGGCTCCCCACTACCTAAACAAGAAAGTCATGTTCTTTCCTCAAGTTAGCCCCAACTTGTCTTTCCAGCTCCACTGACCATCACTTCCTTGTAACATATATACTCCAATAAAACTACACTGCCTGCTGTTCCCAAATACACTCTGCACATCCCTGTCTCCATGTTGGAATCTCCTTTCTATTTTGAACTATTAGAAGCCAACTGATCCTTCAGAGCCCAGCTTACCTGCCTGCATGAAACCTAAATCCCTACAGCTGGAAACATTTCCCTCCTGGCTACTTCCACAGACTTTATGCCTCCTCCTAAAACATTTATAGTACTTTTCCTTTGAGAAAATCATCTCCTTGAGAACAAGGCACGTT